CAGATACTCAACCTAATCAATGGCATCTAGGAACTCTATTGACATGGGAACGAGGATTTGCTAGTATTTCTCCAGGTCCTGAGGAACGGCCTTTGTGGGTGCCTGGCAGGTGCGTTAAACCTTACCATGAGAGACAGCTCACGGAAGAGGAGATTTGCCTGGATAGCAGACATGGAGCTGCCCGAGTTCCACATGTCTGGTCTATTGCTGACAACCACGTTGAAAACCACCCAAATCAGCCCACCCCCGGGAGGATGGACTCCCAAGACGGAGAAAGCTCAACCTCCCACATGGGAGCAATTTAAAAGTTGTCTCAGATAGAGGAAAGCAATTTGGATGACAAAGGCATACCTAAAACTGACACCAATATGCTGGTGTCAATGCTGGCAGTCATCTCAGTTGTAAGTTGTCTTTTGCCAGGCATTGCAGCAGTTAATTTTACCTATTGGGCTTATTTGCCTAATCCTCCTTTATTTTTATTTATTTATTTTTTTTAAAGATTTTTATTGGGGAATTGGGGGTATGGGAACAATGCTGGGGAATTGGGGGAAGGGGAACAGACAAGTTGCTGTCCTTTTGTTCTTCAGTCTAGTTGTGGATGACGTTGCTTCACTGGCCCAAGTTGGCACCATCATTGCGCTCTTCTCAGGCGAAGCACATCAGTCGCCGGCTTCTGGACGGCCGCTCACTGCGGCTGCTGGCGGCTCATGCTGGCGGCTCATGCTGGCTGCTGGCTACATACGGTAGCCCATGGCAACCCACTGCCACAGGGTATTCAGCCTACGCGGTCGCCGGCGACTCACAGCAGCCCAGCTCCAGGTTGAGCTGCTGTTCAGCATCTTAGCTGTGGAGGGTAGTGTCACTGCCCCTCAGATGTGGGATCCGAACCGGGGCCCTCCGGCGTCCCAAACCAGTTCTTAACCATCGTGCCACTCGACTGGCCCTAATCCTCCTTTATTAACTCCCTTAACTTGGAGTGATGATCCTCCCATAATTTACATTAATGATAGTTCTTGGTTTCCTGGACCCGAGGATCCGAGAGGTCCGGGGTTTCCAGAGGAAGAGGATCGGAGCTTTCCCCTTTCCAATCATACAGTGCTAGGATATTTAAACACACCTATCTGCATTTGTTTCAAACCCCCGTGTCTCTCACTTTCCCATCAAACCTGGACCATTTCCAGAGGGAAAGGAAATGGCATTTTTAAAGGTATGTTTATGATTTCTGGTAAGGGATTCAAAATTCAGGAGAAGAGCACTCATAGTTATCCTCCCCTCATTTCTCCTTGTACCCATCAAAGTAATTGGATTGATGGACAGTCCCATATTCACTGGGAAGAGTGCCGAGGGAGAAGGGATCTGGTGCTATTTAATGATTCCTATGGAATTGTAATAGACTGGGGCCCCCATGGGGTCACAGTCTGGAACTGTACTCAATTTAATTGCTCCCATTATCAACTCCTCAGATAGTGGGTACGTTATCATAACTACTTACAAGTAATTGAAACTCAATCTGATTCTTCTATTACTTGGATGGATGGTGCTCTTGCACCTCCTCAACTAAAAATGATTAGCCCCTTTCGAGGGCTGGTTCGAGAAAATGCTATGGAAAGTTGCCCTTAGTCTTGGCCCGAGCCAAGTTTGGAAAGGAAATTATACTCACTTAAGTAAGGGTAATTATGACTTCACCTTTGTGGACACTCAAAAATTTTATTTACAGGCATGTTTAAAGACTCCTTTTGTCTTTTTAGTTGGCACCATAACTATTCATCAAACAGCAAAATTAGTGGAATGTCCTCAGTATCATCTGTACACCTGCATTAACTCCTCAATTTACGATGCCTCCCATGATCAAATTATGATCCTTAGAAGGAGACAAGGATTATGGCTTCCCATGCAGGCCCCTTGTGTGTGGGAAGGCTCCCCCACTGTACATATCGTTTTGCAACTCCTTCATAAGATCTTGCACAGAACTAAAAGATTTATTGGACTCTTAATTGCAGCCGTTATGGGAATTATAGCTATAACTACCATGGCTGCTGTTTCTGGAGTAGCTTTACATCAAACTGTCCAGACTACCCAATTGGTGCAAGAATGGCATGAAAACGCCAGTAAGGCTTGGAACCAACAAATTAAGATTGATCAACACATTAATGTTAGATTAGCTGATTTGGAGACAACTGTAGTCTTCCTTGGAGATCAATTAGAAAATCTCCAAACTATGATTACTTTAAAATGTGATTGGAATGTTTCTACTTATTGTGTAACTCCTTTTTCTTATAATCATTCACGCACCCCATGGTCTGAGGTACGAGCTCATCTCCTGGGACTAACACCCAACCTCACTGTGGATATTCAACAGCTACAGCAGGAGGTGGATTTGATATCTAATGCTAATCTCCAACTCCTCCCGGGAGAGGAATCGCTCTCCGGGACTGCGGAGGAGCTATCTACTTTAAACCCCCTCACTTGGGTAAAAACCCTTGGAGGAGGATTTGCGGGTGCATTTATAATCTTATTGATTTTACTTTTCTTATTTTATCTAGTCCTCTACTGTGGACAACAAACCCTTAAACGAGCAGTAAATCAAGAAACTGCCAAGTCTGTATTCCTCCTGTTGCAGAAACAGAAAGGGGGAGATGTAACCTGGTAGCTGCCTAACGGAGTGTTCCCGCGCACTGATCCCATGAAGTCATAAGGAAGTGTCTCGGAATGCTGAGACCCGAGGGAATGATCTCGGTAAAGCTTCCTAATCAGATGGTCTCGCAATGCCAGTCCATCTCCTGGGGTCGTGTGTGAAGGCACATTATGTGCTGGAGCACACAGGAGCTTCTGGGAAGGCAGTTGCTAGATACACAGACTTAACAGATTAGAATTTATTGCCTAGTAACTTTAGAGAATAAAATATTTGCGTCCATCTGAATCGGTGCTCAGTTCTAGAGGCTTGAGACCCCTGGCCCGCATGAACTCAATATTTGGTTCTTGTATTTCTTAACCCTTTGCTGCCCCTCTTGCACTCTTCCGCCCTTGTCGCAAGGGCCAGGATAACCCAAGAACCGGGAGCACCAATGTCCTAGGGCAAAAATGTCTCAGCTCCAGTAGAGAGAGAAAATATCCCCTTTTTGTTCTATTCAGGTCCTCAACGGGTTGGATGATGCCCGCCGGCATTAGTGAGGGCAATGTTCTTTATTCAATCTGCCAATTCAAATGCTATTTTACCGACACAAGCACTCATAGACACACTCAGGAATGTTTTACTATGCAATCGGACATTTCTTAGCCCAGTCAAGTAGACACATAAAATTAATCATCACAAAAGCTTGATATAGTTCCACCTGAAAACCTCTCATTTTTCTGTGAAATAGACGGTGAATATTGACTAAGAAAGAGGAACTTAGTGATGAGGTAGAGGGCTTAGGAGAGCAGCGTCTGGAATGGCTGTTGAATGAAGTCAGAAAAAGAGACAACCATGGATAAAAGGAGATAACCATGGATAAATAACTGCTAAATTATGCTAGGACCTAGCTGAGATTGGGAGTTGGAATGGCACCTTCTCAACACTCAACTCTGTCAGGCTTTGTGCTTGAAAATTGTGGTGCACAAAACATGTATAGTCTTTGTCCTCATGGAATTTACAGTCAAGTAGGAAGACGCACATTTAAAAGTAGCACACACAAAAAATGTGTAATTACAAATTGTGGAAAGTCTATGGAGAGAAAGAACAGGGTTCTGTGAGAAAATTAATTTGATTAAGGGGAAGGAGTTCAGGGAAGGCTTCTCTGAAGAAGGGGCATTTGAACAGAAATCTGAAGGATTACTAGAGGGAGAGATGTTCTAGTACATCTAGATTACTAGAAGCAGAGTTTGGGATATCTGAGATACTAAAGAGCACATGTGATAAGTATAGAAAATGATAGGAAGATAGCAGGAGAAAATTCAGGCTTGGCAGAGCCAGATTATGCAGGGTTTTATAAACTGTGTTAAGAAGTTTGCATTATTCTAAGGGCAGAGGGAAATCATTGAAGGGTTGAGAAGAGTTAACACAGATTTAATATTTAAATGTTCATCTTGGCTGCCTTGAATATTATGGATTGAGGAAAGGCAAAATTAGATATGGAGACTATTCAATTGTCTATGGTAATTTGGACTAGAATGACACTTGTGATACAATTTTTTTTCCTGATTTCTGTAAAGAACTGGAGCGATTGCCCTCAGTGTTTCTGACATTGAGGAAAGAAGTATCTTTTGTCTCCTAGGTCTTCGGCTCAGGGGGAGTGGCACTTCCAGTACTAACGTTCCTAAATTCCAGGTCCACACAATTCTCCGTTTCAAAGCCAATCTCCCTACTTGCGTTTTTCTCACATCTAACTTTTCCTTGTGAAATTCCAAATCTTGTTTCTTCATTTATATCTTTCCAATCAGGGCAATGGTTTCTCAATCCTGCCTATACTTTTTATCAGCCAGAATACTTTCAATCAAATCAGCGCTATCGCTCAGTTTACAGATTTGGGCTTTATTATAAGAAAGAATGAGAAATACTCGAGTAAAAGACTGTGTAACAGGTCCCCACACCCACTTAATAATCAGACACTAAAATCACTTGGAGCTTTTTTTTTTTTTTAGGTTTAAGATTTTTTTCCCCCATTTTTTTATTTTTTATTATGAAATACACATTTTTTAGAATTAGTTTCAGCTTCACTTGGAGCTTTTAAACGGCAGCTTCTGATTTTATTCAGAAAGCAGACCTAACAGGTGGGGAATTCTTTCCATTTTAGGGCTGACAGTTCTGAAGGCCCGCAGTTCTCTCCTCTGGCTCTGCAGCCGCTCCCCGAGGGCAGGCACCTGTGTCCCCAAGGATAGGCACCGGTGTCCCCGAGCCCTCTGGGAAGTGGAGTCCTTTCGTCAAGACCCCCGACCTGGCGGGTCGCCTCCAAGTGCGCAGATGCGACTCCAGACGAAGCCTCGGCCTGACGCCTTTTGTCTCCTTGCAGCTCCCTGGGGTCCGAAAGGCGACTCCATCCACCCCTCCCAGAACGCAGGCTGGCGGGGATCCAGCCAGGAGGCCGGAGCAGGATCCGCAGCACGTCCAAGGGTAAGAGAAAGCCGGACCGGAGACGCGGGTCTCCGGCGAGCCGCCGGTCCATACACGCGGCTCTGATGCCTCCTGCCGCAGCCCGAACCGGGCTCTCAGGTTCGGGCCTCCGCGGGGAAACGGCTGGGCCCTGCCAGCATCGACGCCCCCCGCCCCCGGCCCCCTGCAACACACACACACCAGGCGCTCCGCACGCTCCTCCTGGATAAGTCCCGCTGGCTCTCTAGCTGGGTTTGTGGGTTTGGTTCTGAGCCGAGGGGCGTCCTGACGCGCTGTTGCTGCTAAGCCCTCTGGGAAGTGGAGTCCCGGAGCGCGAAGTGGGCGTGGCAAACAGGCGTTTTGGGAGCCAGAGTTCGGGGCCCGGGAGCTGGACTTCTGAGTTGGCGAGAGCATAAGCGCCTCCGGCTGATTTTAACCTTAAGTTTTGTCACTCCACCAAGAAGATCCTTAAGGTTCTGAACTTTTGGTACAGAAAGAAAAAAAAATAATAAAAATGGAGGCTATCTTTAACTCATTCCCCTCCGTGCTTTGCTTTATTAGTCTTTGGCCCTGCCTCTATTTGGGAGCCTCTGCAAGGGGTTCCACTCAAAGTGTGAGAGAGTTTCGGCCTGTATGTTTCCACGGTCTTAAAATAAGGAGCTAGTGAGGAATTGGCTGTATAAGGGCCCCATCTATCAACTCCTTGTGTTTATGAATAGCGAGGATGAACAAACTGTGGGAGCCTTGCTTATAGTTACTGCTACCATCGTCACAGGCCGCCTTAAGGACACTTGTGTGATTTAGGGTCTCATGGGAGTTTCTGCACGGTGTGGAATCAGGTGTGTGACTGAGTCTCACAGTTCACTGCCCTGTTTCTCTGTTTTTGCCCTGGTGTGGCATGTAATGACTCACCTTGGTACTCCAGAGGATTGGTTTCCAGCTGTGGAGATTAATTTAGCCTAAATAATAAAGATTCCAAGCAAAGTAGAATTACTTTCGAGGCTCCAGGACTTAAATACGTAGCAATAAGCCTCCCAGGAATGGGAGGGAGTAGAGGGGGATGCCCTAAGGAGCAGGAATTTGCCAGAGGAGTGCAAGCCTAACCTCAAAATCTCTCTCCAGAGTTTGAGTGGTGTTAAATGATTTACACAAAGAAGCAGATTATGTGTATTGTTGAAAATCCATGTTTATCTTGTCTGAAACAGTGAATAAGGAGGAAATTACAGCAATAACAGGACAGAAGAGAAGCTGGTCATTGATTATCTGACCGTTGAAGTTGAGGAAAGAGGTAAGAATTACAGAAATAAACATGGAGTTGAAAGTAGGGACAAGTGGAGGATATGCCCTTGATGAGATTGAAAAGGGTGGGTGCCCCTGTACGACAGAAAAGGGAAGCAGACACATGTCAGGAGAAGGCCCTGAAGTAATCTCTCAGTAAGCTACCATGTTTGGAAAGCATTAAGTAGGCTTATTGTAGCACATTTCCATCATTTTCTTTTAGCACTTCTGTGCTTATCCATATTCCTTCTGAAGCTGTGGAAGGCAGACTATTCCATAGTGCTTGCTTCTGTGATGAAGGGCAGGTCACACTTTTCCACCCTTGTTAGACTGTTGCAAAAGGTTGATGTATTGTGGGTCTGTGAGTTTAACTTTTTGATCAAAGCACTTTTACCTTATTGTCTTATTCTATACTGAACTGAGCTTTTTGAGCTAGGTAAAGTAGGCCTTATGCACCTATATAATTCAGCTGGCTTGTGATGGCTTTTGTCCTAGTGAATTTGGAAGTTGGAAGATAAAGTTTACCTACTTTATGGCTTTTTTCCTACTCTATCCAGCCATGACTACTGAGAATACGTCTCTGCTCCCAACACAGAGCACAGAAGAAATGGAACCTGCTGTTGAACTCCTTCCTGTTGAATTCCAGGCAAGTTTGAGTTTAATTTTTCTTCCCCAAAATCTTAGCTTGGTGTATACAGTATGTCCTTGTTTCTATCTTTCACCTTGCTTCAGAGGTCCACAGAAATCCCATCTAGAGAACTGAACCAAAGTAAATTTGCCTTGCAGAGTTGAGTCTCTGGGGAATGCTAAGGCTGGAGCTTTAAATTTGGGATTTTGTGTGAATGGTATTTTAAATTATGAAATTATGATACCAAGAAAATAAGTGTAGATGGAAAAGAGATGAGATCTTATTACTCATCTCTCATCTTCATAAAAAATCTTTGGAAAAAAGAAAAAAAGAGTATAGCTTTGGAGTCAGACTGCCTCCAAATCTCAGATCTAATCTTTACATCTGTAAATAGTGTTTTTTGGTTTTTTTAAAAAGATTTTTATTGGAGAATTGGGGGAAGGGGAACAGACAAGTTGCTGTCGTTTTATTCTTCAGTCTAGTTGTGGAGGACGTTGCTTCACTGGCCCAAGTTGGCACCACCATTGCGCTTTTCTCGGGCGAGGCAGATCAGTCGCCGGCTTCTGGATGGCCGCTCACGCTGGCTGCTGGTTGCTGGCTGCTGGCTAGACATGGTAGCCCATGGCAACACACTGCAGCCGGGGCTGCAGCCTACGCGGTAGCCGGCGACTCACGGCAGCCCAGCTCCAGGTTGAGCTGTTGTTCAGCATCTTAGCTGTAGAGGGCAGTGTCACTGGCCCTCATATGTGGAATCTGAACCAGGGCCCTCTGGCGTCCGAAGCCAGCTCTTAACCCACGTGCCACTCAGCCGGCCCTGTAAATAGTGTTAATAATAGTATACTTACCTCATATAATTATTATTACAAGAGGTTCTTAGTACATAGAAATAAGTTATAAATGTTAGCTATTATTATTTTCTCTAATCCAGACTAATTCTTAGAAATCTAAAAATATTCCATTAAAATGGTTAAAATAAAGGTTTCAGATTTAAAAACACTTCCTCTTCTAGATTGTTCTCTTCCCTCAAGGATTACCAAGTCCTATAAGAATGTGCTTGTTCTTCCAGGAATTGGTGACAGTCAAAGATGAGGAAATGGACTTCATCCATGTGGAGGAAGAACAGCTGAATTCTGACCAAATGTACATGGGCATGGATCTGAAGGTGGAGAATTCTGGGAGCCTAGTATTTTGGGGTAAGGAAGTTATTTTGTAATGCAAACTGCTTACTGGGACATAAGCTTTCTCTATAGCTAATGGCATCTAAACTGCCATAGTTTTGCTTAAGATCCAGAGAGCCCTGATCCCCTAAGGGATCACCAATCACTTTGGGCTCAGAATTGGTTTTCTTTTCTCTTTTGACAAGTAAAAGTTCACTGCAAGTGGAACTGGAAAAGGACAGCTTCATTTTATGGATTTTAAGAATTATAAAGCTATGGTAATCAAAATAGTGTCATATTGCTGCAAGGATAGAGGCAAATAAATGGAACAGAGCAGATAGTCCAGAAATAGACCTACACATATATGGTCAATTAATTTCTGAAAAAGATGCAAAAACAATTCAGTGTTAAAAGGAGAATCTTTTCAATAAATGGTGCTGGAACAATAAAATGAACCATAAAATGAACTTCAATCTATACCTCCCATCATATATAGTAACTAAAATGGATAATAGAGTTAAGTAGAAAACCTAAACTATAAAACTTCTAGAAGAAATATTAAGGATAGTCTTTGTTACCTTTTATAAGGCAAAATTTTATTAGATATGACACCAAAAGCTTAATCCAGTAAAGCCTTCTGGGTCTCAAGTTTATTTTATAGGAAAGTTTTTAACCTTAAACCTGGATCCTGTATTAGACAGAGGACAATTCAGGTTATATATTTCTTCTTGACTGAGCTCTGGTAATGCTTTCCCATCTTTCATTCCTGATATTGATAATCTGTATCGTCTCTTTTCATTTTGTTGGTCTTCCTAAGAGTTTAACAATTTTATTGATCTTTTCAGGGAACCAACTTTTGATTTCATTGATTCTATGTATTGTTTTCTGTTTTCAGTTTTATTCATTGATGTTCTTATCTATTTATTTTTCCCCTTTGCTAACTTTGTGTCTACTTTGCTTTCCTTTTATTAGTTTCTTAAGGTAGAAGAAGCTTGATCATTGGTATAAGATCTTTCTTCTCTTCTAATATGAACACTTAATGCTATAAATTTCCTTCTAAGTACTGCTTTAGCTGCATTCCATGATTTTGGTGGTGTTTTCGTTTCTATTCAGTTCAAAATAATTTCAGTTTTTACTCTTTTTAAAAATATTTTATTGAGGAATTGGAGGAGAGGAGCAGCATTGGGGAATTGGGGAAGGAGAACAGACAAGTTGCTGTCCTTTTGTTCTTCAGTCTAGTTGTGGAGGACATTGCTTCACTGGCCCATGTTGGTATTGTGATCATTGTGCTCTTCCCAGGTGAGGCAGATCAGTTGCCGGCCTCTGGATGGCTGCTCACGGTGGCTCTTGGAAGCTCATGCTGGCTGCCGGCTGCTCATGCTGGTTGCCGGCCACTCACAGTAGCTTATGGCAGCCCACTGCAGCAGGGGCTGCAGCCTATGCTATCGCCAGTGACTCATGGCAGCCCAGCTCCAAGGTCGAGCTATTGTTCACCATCTTAGCTGTAGAGTGCAGTGTCACTTGCCCCCACGTGGGATCCGTACCAGGGCCCTGATGCTTAGAGCTGGCATCCCAAGCCAGCTCTTAACCAATGCGCCACTCAGCCGGCCCTCAGTTTTCACTCTTGACTGTCTCTTTGACTCATGATTTGTTTACAAATTTCCAAATTTTAGGTGATTTTTCAATAAATTTCTCTTTTTAAATTTTGTGCTTTGGTTCTGTGTGGTCAGAGATACTTAATGATTTCAGTTCTTTTAAGTTTTTGAGATTTGTTTTATTACCAATAATATAGTCTTGATGAATGTTCCACGTGCACTTGAAAATAAGTTTCATTAGGTCACATTGGTTGACATTATTATTCTGGTCTTCTGTACACTTACTGATTTCCTGTTTACTGGCTTCTGTTGATTACCAACAGAGAAGTGTTGAATTCTCTAACTGTAACTGTGGGTTTGTCTATTTCTCCTTTTAGGTCTATCAGTTTTTGCTTAATGTAATTCTGAAACTTTTTTTTTAAAGACACATTTATTCAGCATTATGATCAGACTATTACATTTAGCAATCCATAGCATGGATGCAAAAAGAAAAAATCTATATTGAAACCTTTTGTTGGGATACTTTACACTTTCCACAGAACAGAAACTAAAGTAACCTGTTATATTAGTGAGGAATACAGTCTTTGAGTTTTTTCCCATGCACATGAGTGTTGTCTAAAACATGTCTTCTTTGTAGCAGCTAGGCCCTGCCACCACTGTGCTTGGCTAAGTTCAAAAATCTGTTGTAACCTGTAGCTTCCCTGTCACTTCTCTGGCTCTCCTCTCCTGCTAAGCTTTGTTTCCTGGCAGTAGTTAAAACCTTCTGCCACTACCATAGCTACTGCTGCTGCTGGAACCACCATAGCCACCTGGGTTGCGTGCTTTGGCAAAGTATTGGTCTCACCTCAGTAGGGGCCAGAACTTCTGCCTCCAAAGTTTACTCCTTTCATGGGTCCAGAATTTGAAGGTTGATTGTTCTAATTGCCAAAATCGTTGTAGCTTCTGTCACCTCCAAAATTGCTTCCATCATTACCAAATCCATTATAGCCCTCCCTACTGCCACCATATGCTCACCACCACAGCTGCCACCAAAACTACCTCGACCACTGAAGTTTCCTCCATGACCAAAGTTGTCATTGCCACCAAAACCGCCTCCTCGACCACCACCAAAGTTTCCAGAACCACTTCCACCTCTTTGACTGGATGAAGCACTAGCCATCTCTTGCTTAAATAGGGCTTTCCTTATATCACAGTTGTGGCCATTCACAGCATGGTATTTCTGAATGACAATCTTGTCTACAGAGTCGTGGTCATCAAAGGTCAGAAAAGCAAGGCCACTCTTCTTCCCACTGCCTCAGTCAGTCATGATTTCAGTCACTTCAGTTTTCTCACACTGTTCAAAATCTCTCTTAGGTGATGATCTTCAGTGTCTTCTTTAATACCACCCACAGAAATCTTTTCCACAGTGAAGTGGGCACCAGGTCTTCGAGAATATTCTCTTGAGACAGTCCTCTTTGATTCCACAACTCTTCCATCCACCTTGTGTGGCCTTGCCTTCACGGCTGCACTCACCTCCTCCAAGGATACTTACTTGGTGGTGTACACCAAAAGAAAGGCCTGAAACTCTTTTGTTAGGTGCATACATGTTAAGAACTGTTTATCTTCTTGGTGAATTGACCCCTTTATCGTTATATAATGTCCTTCTTTAATCTTGGTAATATTCCTTGTTTTGAAGTTTATTTTGTCTGATATTAATATAGCCATTGTTGCTTTCTTTTAATTAGTGTTTGCATAGTATATGTTTTTATGCTTTTAGTTTAACCTATTTAAAGTGAGTTTCTTGTGGACAGAATATAATTGGGTTTGGTTTTACATTCTGACAGTGTCTGATTTTCAATTGCTATGTTTAGATCATTTACATTTAAAGCCATTGGTATGATTGGATTTAAATCTTCCACACATCTAGTTGTTTTCTATTTGTTCCTTCTTTTCCTTGTTCTGTATGTTTTTTGATTGGGTATTTTTTAAAATTCCAATTTATCTCCACTATTAGCTTATCATTAAACCTATTTTTAAAGTTTTTAACAATAGTTGTCCTAGAGTTCGCAATATGCTTTAGTTAATCACAATATACCTTTAGATAATATACCACTTTTTGTAGAGTGTAGGAACCTTCTATAAATTTCTAATTCTTCTCTCCTGTCTTTTGTGTAATTGTGTCAGACATTTTACCTTTACATATGCTATAAAACCACAATATATTGCTATTATTTTTGTTTAGGACAGTCATTATCTTTTAGAGCAAATAAAAATAAGAAAAAATGAATTTTATATTCATAAATATTTATATTTATTTTCATTTATGCCTTTTTTTTAAAGTGGTGAAAGAAGTTTATTAGAAGAGATAATACACTTCAAAGAATTAGGAGCGGGCGGAGCACAAAGAAAAGCGGCTCGAGGCTGCGGCTCAAAGGCTCAAGGGTGGCATTATTAGGAGAAAAAGTACACTCCAAAGAGTTTGGAGTGGGCCCGAGCAGAAGAAGCTGCTCAAAAGCTTTATGCCATTTTTAAATGTAGCTCGGGGGTAGCAAATTTTCTTTAAAGAGGATCAGATGATAAATAATTTCTGCTTTGTGTGCCATATGGTCTTTTTTTGCAACTACTTAACTTTGCTATGGTAACATGAAGGCAGCCATAAACAATATATAAACAAATGGGAGTGGCCAGATTTGGCCTGTGGTTGGTCAGATTTATCCCATGGGCCGTAATATGCTGACTCCTGGTGTAGGTCTAAGTTTTTAACTGATACCAGATACCTCTGCCTATAACATTTCTTATAGTGCAGGTCTACTGGAAATGAATTCTCTAAGCTTTAGTTTGTCTGAAAAGTCTATATTTCATCTTCATTTTTGAAAGATATTTTTTACCAAATATGGAATTATGGTGACAGGTTGTTTTTCTTCTTTCAGCACTTTAAATGTGTCACTTCACTGTCTTCTGACTTACATAGATTGTGAGAAAAACTTTGCTGTAATTTTTACTTTTGTTCCTCTGTATGTAATACATCTTCTTTCTATAGCTAACTTTAAGATTTTCTCTTTATGTTGGTTTTCAACAGCTTGAACATGATGTGTTTGTGTGTGTCCGTGTGTGTGTGAGTGTATGTGTGTGTGTCATCCTACTTGGGGTTCTCTAAGCTTCTCTGGTTCTTTGGTTTGATATCTCTCAGTGCTTGTATTTTTTGAGTATTATCAGCCATTAACTCATCAAATATTGTTTTTGTGCATTCTGTCTCTTCTCTTTCCAGGATTCTAATTACATGTATGTTAGAACATTTGGTATTGTACCACAGTTCTTAGACACTCTTTTCTGGTCTGTTAGTTTCTTTGTTTTTCATTCTTTTTTTCTTAGTGTTTTAGTTGGGGTAATTTATATTAACCTATTTGCAAATTAACTGATTCTTTTCTTACTACTTACTGTTGATTTTACTGCTGTACCCATCAAAGACATTCTTCATCTGGTTACCATACTTTTTCATTTTTAGAATTTCCATTTGACTTTCTTTTATAGTTTCAATCTGTTTGCTAAAATCACCCAACTGTTAATGCATGTTGTCCATATTTTCCACTAGAACCTTTTACATATTAAACATAGTTATTTTAAAAGCCTTTATAGTTCTGATATCTGGGTAAATATTGTCTTGTTCTGTTGATTACTCTGACTATTGTTTTATACTATCAGATTTGAATGGAGCTGGAGCTGGGTGCATGGAGAGAAAACGCAAGCAGACCTGTTATGAGGCTGTTGCATTAATTTGGGTGAGGGATGATGGTGGCTGAATTAGGGTGGTAATAGTGGGGAGGGAGAGTACAAAAAGAATATGAGGGAGGTATAATCCCTAAGACTTGGTGATTTATTTGTTGTGATTGGTAGAGTAGAGGGAGGAGTTCAATGATTCTCAAGTTTCTGACTTTCAACTACAAAAACTTTTGGGGGTTTTGTAAGGATTAGATGTGTTAATATATTTAACCTTTTAGAATAGTAGCTTATACATAATTAACACTATATAAATGTATGTTTAATATTATAGTTCACAATATATTTTAAACTTTATGTACCATGATATTTTTAACTTCTGAAAATTAGGGCAGCATTACAAATTTATTTTACTCAAACATCAGTTATGTTTCTATATACTGGGACAAAACAATTTTAAGAACACTTATATTCCTTTCCAGATTTGCTTCAGTGCTTATATTTTTTGTGTTCAATTCAGTTCATACAACATATGTTTCATTGTTAGATGACATAGTTAGCTAAGATATATTTAATTAAAAATTATGATGGTGCTATTTTCTTCGTTGGTGAAACCTGGTGAACATTCAGGTTGAGGGAGAGGATGAGTTAACATATATCTACATTGAATTCAAGATTTCCTAGTGGATATATAGTAAATAGTTGGATATATAGATGTGGGAGAGAGACAACTAAGCTGAAGATATGGATTTGAGATCATTGCTATATAGAAGGTAGTTACATCTAGTAGACAAATAAGTCCTGAGATCTGATGCACAGTAGAGTGAATATAGACAATGTAATATTTAATCATTAAATTTGCTAGGATACTAAACCTTAATTATTCCAACCACAAAAAAGAAATAATTATGTGATGTGATAGAGGTGTTAACTATTGATACAATGGCAATCATATTTCAGTATGTAAATATATGCAAACAACATGTTGTATATATTAAATTTGCACAATGTTATATGTCAAATGTATTTCAATTTTGAAAAAGGCAATTAATATCATGGACTGGATGAGTTCTTTAAAGGAAACAGTGTAGTTGGGGGGTGGTAGGCACAAAAGAGACAAGCCTAAGAGTGAACACTAAGAAGAATCAACATTTAAGAAGAAGAAACAGCAGAAAAAGTTCAAAAGAAAGATCTGGTGAAAATCCTGGAGAGCTTAGAATTATAGAAGTGGAGAGAGAATATAAGTCAATTACATCTGAACAAAATTGGGGGAAAATGGAGAATGTTATTAGGAGGAAGGCATGGTCAACATTGTCAAGTGCTGTTGAGAAGCCAAGCAAATCAAAGAATGAAAGGATCCACTGGATTTAGGTGAACCTAAATTGTTAGTGACTTCAGTGAGAACAGAGAGAAGCCAGACTACAGTGAGTTCTGGAGCAACTATGTGATGAGGCAAAACATTTTTGAGAAGTTTGGCTATGACAAAAAAAAAAAAAAAAAAGAAGGAAGCAAGAGTGGAAGGAAGGAAAGAAAGAAGGGGGAAAGTGGTTAGTGAACACACAAAATAATTAAAGCATACGGTAAACAAAAAATCTGTGTCTTTAAACAGGACTGGAGGGAACTATTTAAAAAGTTAAAGGTGGTTATCTCCAGGTGGTATTATTATAATTTATTTTTGTCTAATACTTTTCAAAACTGTCTAGTCTCAAACTGTTTTTTCATCTTTCTCCCCTTCCTTAGTTATTATATGTTAACATTTATTCTCATCCTATCTACTTATCCTTCTTCCTGGTTAGTCTGTTCAGTTTTTCATCCTCTTTGGTAGAGCATCCTCATTGTCTATCCTTTTATTGTGCTTCATATTAGTCATTCTCCCATCTCTGTTATTCCTTGAAACTTCTTCATCTGCCATCACTTTGAGGCACTTTCTGAAAACATTCAAATAAACGTTTTAATAGGCATCATTTAAATTTTGTTACCCTCTTGCCAATTTAACAGTTTTCATACTCTCAACACAGAGACCATAAACATTTGCACTTTTTATTTAATTTCAGATTCTGAATCTGTACGTGAAACTAAAAACTCCCTTTCAAAGCAGGAAGTTTATGAAGAAGTATCATCTGAAAGGGAGCTGATAATAGAAAGACTTAAAAAGGATGATTCCTGGGACTCCAGATTGATAGAAGCCTGGGAATGTGAATGCACATTAGAAAGGCAACAAGGAAATCAGAAGAAAGATTTAAGGCAAGTCATAATTAAACACAAGAAAAACCCCATGGAGGAGTGTAATGAAATTAGCAAAAGTTCAAACCCAATTAAACATCAGAAAGTTTACTCATTGAAAAAGCCTTGGAAGTGCAGTGAGTGTGGGAATTCCTTCAGTTACTATTCAGCCTTTATCCTACACCAGAGAATTCATACTGGAGAGAAGCCCTATATATGTAATGAATGTGGAAAGGCCTTCAGTCGGAGCTCATCACTTATTCAGCATCAGAGAATTCACACTGGAGAGAAACCTTATGAGTGTAACAAATGTGGGAAAGCATTCAGTCATCGTTCTGCCCTTATTCAACATCATATAATTCATACTGGAGAAAAGCCCTATGAATGCAATGAGTGTGGGAAGGCCTTCAACCAAAGCACATACCTTATTCAGCATCATAGAATACACACTGGAGAGAAACCCTATAAATGCAAGGAATGTGGGAAAGCTTTTAATGATACCTCATCTCTTATTAAACATCTAAGGGTTCATACTGGAGAAAAACCCTATGGATGTAAAGAGTGTGGGAAAGCCTTTAGTGACAGGTCAGGCCTTACTCAACATCAGAGAACTCATACAGGGGAAAAGCCGTATGAATGTAGCGAATGTGGGAAAGCCTTCAGTTACTGTTCAGCTCTTATTCAACATCAAGGAACCCACACTGGGGAAAAACCTTACAAATGTAATGAATGTGGGAAAGCCTTCAGTGACCGCTCAGCTCTTGTAAGACATCAGAGAATTCATACAGGAGAAAAACCTTACAAATGTAAAGAATGTGAGAAAGCCTTCAATCAGAGCTCATCCCTTACAAAGCATGTGAGAACTCATACTGGAGAGAAACCATATAAATGCAATGATTGCGACAGAGCCTTCAGCCAGAGTTCATCTCTTATTCAACACCAGAAAATTCATACAGGAGAAAAATCCTACAAATGTAAGAAATGTGAGAAAACTTTCACTGTGCGTTCAGCCTTTCATCAACATGAAGAAATTCATAATGAATAGAATGCAGCAAATTCCTAAAATAATTATGTTTTTTCATCTGATTTTAATGATGAGCAAAGTTGGAGGACTCACACTACCTGATAATAAGAGTTACTATAAAGTTACAGTAATTAAGATAGTGTATATTAGTGTAGGCTAGACAAATAGATCAGTGAAACAGAAAGAAGTCCTGAAATAGATCCACTTATAGGTCAATTCATTTTCACAACAGGTGTTAAAGCAATTCAAAAAATGGTGCTTGAACAACTGCATATCCATATGGGGAAAAAAAGAACCTTGACCTCTATTTCACTTTATATGCAAAAATTAATTAGTGATGGATCAGAAACCTAAATGGAAAAGCTAATCTTAAAACACATAGAAGAAAGCATAGGAGATTAGCATTATGATCTCAGATAGACAAAGGTTTCTTAGGACAGAAAAGCAATAACCATAAAATAAAATGATGAATTAGACCTAATAAAAAGTTAAAACTTTTGTTTTTTTTTAAAGACTTTTTATTGGGGAATTGGGGGGATGGGAACAGCGCTGGGGAATTCGGGGGAAGGGGAACAGACAAGTTGCTGTTGTTTTTGTTCTTCAGTCTAGTTGTGGAGGACGTTGATTCACTGGCCCAAGTTGGCATCATCATTGTGCTCTTCCCGGGCGAAGCAGATCAGTCGCTGGCTTCTGTACAGCCACTCACTGTGGCTGCTGGCCACTCACGCTGGCTGCTGGCTACACACAGTAGCCCATGGTAGCCCACTGCCACAGGGGCTGCAGCCTACGCCGTTGCCTGCGATTCACGGCAGCCCAGCTCCAGGTTGAGCTGTAGTTCAGCATCTTAGCTGTGGAGGGCAGTGTCACTGGCCCTCATATGTGGGATCTGAACTGGGGCCCTCTGGCATCCCAAGCCAGTTCTTAACCATCGCGCCACTCGGCTGGCCCAAAACTTCTGTTTTTTCTTTTGATGAACCATTAAGAAAATGAATACAGAACCCACAGACATGGAGAAAATATTTGCAAAGCATGTATCTGACAAAGACTTGTGTCCAGAATATAAAAAGAACACCTACAACTCCAGAATAAAAAGACAAATAACCCAACACATAAAATAGGCAAGAGAGTTAAACTTCACAAAAGAAAATATGCAAACTTTAAAAAAACACATGAAAAGTACTCAACAGCATTATTCATCAAGGAGACGCAAATTAAGACCACAGTGAGACACTACTACTACACATCTGAACAGTTAAATAAAAAGTAAAAACTAAAATTAAAAATACATACGTTGGTAAAGTTGAGGAAAAGCTGGTAGTCTCATATATTGCTAATGAGAATATAAAATGGTACAACATTCTGAAAAACAGTTTGACAATTTTTAAGAATAAAGTTAAACTCATGCTCTTTAACCCAGCAATTACACTCTTAAGTATTTACAATAGAAACGAAGATATATACCTCAAGAAATAATAGCAAAAACAGTAACAACACGGGCCGGCCGAGTGGCGCGATGGTTAAGAACTGGCTTGGGACGCCAGTGGGCCCTGGTTCGGATCCCACATATGAGGGCCAGTGACACTGCCNCACGTCTTCAGCGTTAAGGAAGAGCAGAGTCCGATGATTGATTGCCTGGTTGATACTTTTGTTTAGTTTGATTTTGTTGTAAGGGAAAACAGGATATGATTAAAAGTTTAAGGGGGTTCACATTATTGTGAAGTGGCACTTTAGATTTTGAGTTCCAAATGTACAGTATTCACAGATGATATACAATAGTTTAGATAATGAAAAGGTTGTGGTTCGTTCCCCAGTGTTGGAGCCATTATCAGGACTTTTTTGAATACTTTCCTGCTTGAGAGGTAGAGGGTCTTCTTTCACAGTGTTTTTAGGGAACATGAAAGGTGTGTGAGGGAATTTCTTAAAAATGCACTTACATAAAAAGCAAGCTTCACCGGTAGCCAGAAAAGCATAAAAAAAAAATGAAAATTGCGTGTATCCCGTCACTTGTGTACTCCCTGAGAGTAACAATATTAAATGAATAATGTTAAATAAAAGCTGAAGTGGAAGCCACAGTTTGGGTATAACCCTAGGCCAACCACCCCATAGCTGGGGAACCAAAACTTAAACTGTCCTAATTTTCCCCCGTTGCTGACTCTGCCCTTCAATGAAAATTGAGCTTTCTTCTAGTGGGGTCATCTTGCATCTTCCCTAGCCAATCAGCTACAAAGAAATTAAACTGTACAGCAGCACTACTTTAAAAGGAATGTAAGTTTCTAATAACCAATCACGATAGAAAACAAGGCACATCCTCATTCATGTGTAGGGGGGGAGAAAAATAATTTTCTCTCTACCCTTCTGAGTTCTTAGCTAAAACCCCCCTGCAATAAAAGATTAAAAGAAAAACAAACATAAGTGTATTAATATACTCGTATAATATGTAGCCTGAAGTCTCTGGTAACTTTCCTAAAAAAGTTTTTACACTCTCTGAGCTGATTTCTGTATGATGTAGAAATAAATGAAGACCACCCAAATGAGAACAAGCAAAGGCTCTTCATTCAGAACTTGCTATAGCAAGGGAGTCAGCCACCATCACTCATGTATGGCAGAGTCTCAAAAGCAGGGAGGGGAAAGCTTTATAGTGAAAAAAAATGAAAGCTGAAATATGCCCAGTTTGGAGGTTGTTGGCTTGGGGAAAGCTGGAGCAGGTTAAATTAATAGAAGTGAGACATCCTAGCTGATTGGGTAGTGGGGAGCATGTTTGGCTTTCTCTGTTGGGCCTAAATTGGAAGAGGGTGTAAATATTAGGGATAAGTTGGCTGTTACTGACCAAGTTCTGACTTGGGACCTATTACTGCATTGGTTATGGTTTGAGTTCTGGGCTAGTTGCTAGGGGTTGCAGGTCAGAGTGCAATTTTTATCTTTTTTATCCCTTTATGTATTCAGTCTCTCAGGTGCTGCAGAACATATTCTAGGGAGAAGGGGAGGGCAGGGCCACAGATTCTTTTGAATGTAGCTTCAGAAATTACTAAAAAGGGGTCGGCCGAGTGGCACGTTGGTTAGGAGTTGGCTTGTGACGCCAGCTCTGAGCAGCAGGGCCCCGGTTTGGATCCCACATGAGGGCCAGTGATGCTGTGCCTCTACAGCTAAGATGTTGAACAACAGCTCAACCTGGAGCTGGGCTGCTGTGAGTCGCCGACGACGGCGTAGGCTGCAGCCCCAGCTGCAGTGGGCTGCCATAAACTACCGTGAGTGGCTGGCAGCCGGCGTGAGCTGCCAAGAGCCACTGTGAGCGGCTGTCTAATGGCCGGCGAGCGACTGCCTCACCCAGGAAGAGCGCAATGATAATACCAACATGGGCCAGTGAAGCGACGTCCTCCACAACTAGACTGAAGAACAAAAGNGCCAGCAGCCGCAGTGAGCGGCCGTCCAGAAGCCAGCGACTGATCTGCCTCGCCCGGGAAGACTATAATGATGGTGCCAACTTGGGCCAGTGAAGCAACGTCCTCCACAAGTAGACTGAAGAACAAAAGCATAGCAACTTGTCTGTTCCCCTTCCCCCAATTCCCCAGTGCTGTTCCCATCCTCCAACTCCCCAATAAAAATCTTCAAAAAAAAAAAAGAAGGGAAAATGAAATCATCGTATGTTCATGCAACACATACTACTTAGCATTTAATAGGAATATACACAACAACATCGATATATCTCACAGACATTATTCAGAGCAAAAGAAGCCAGATACCAAAAAAAAAAAAATTGTGTACTGTATGACTTCATTTATATGAAGTTGTAGGGAAGGCAAAACTAATTGTGATAGGAAGAATAGTAACTTTTCCACACAGCCCAATCACTCTAGGCACAGCAGGCCAGGATACTGGGGCCTAATGCTCTCAAATTCTCTTGCTCCAGCTTATTCGTAGTGTGGAGGTGCCACTCCAACAGGAACAAGCCAAGGAGAATAACGATCAGTGCTGCAGAGAGCAGGAGAGCTACTCCAAGAGAAGTGGGCTGCTATCTCTGCCTCCAATGCTTGTGCAGTGGAACAAAGGTCAGATCCAGTCAAAGATTCAAGGAAGAAGATGAGCAAGGCAGTTTCTCTGGAATGGCGCTCCAACTCCATTTTGAAATGGCATTTTTCACAAATGTCAGGCTTAAAAATAAAATAACACGTGTCGTTGGTAGTCTGGAAGACCATGTACATGCCCAAGGCTGTGCCCTCTCAGGAAGATCTGTGAGTATAGTAAAATAGTTTTTCAATGGCAGTTGTCTCTTAATCTGTTGCCCTTACTATACCTACATAATAATAAAATGTATTAAAACCACATGGTAGCTTTGATGAGAAAGTAATGTTTAAGCTACAAACTTTATTATCAAGGGGAGATACTAAATTAAGAACAGGTAAGAATATTTCTAGAAAAGAGAACAGAATGTGAGATGGTCCTGAGGCAAGAAGGCACATGTTACTTTCTTTAAGAATGGGCAGTGTGATTTGTGACAACATGGATGGACCTAGACTGTATCATGCTAAATGAAATAAGTCAGGCAGAGAAAGACAAATACCATATATTTCACTTATATATGGAATCTAAAAAACAAAAGAAATGAGCAAACAGGCCCGGCCAAGTGGCACGTTGGTTAGAACTTGGCTAGGGAAGCCAGCTCTGAACAGCAGGGCCCCGGTTCGGATCCCACATGAGGACCAGTGATGCTGTGCCCTCTACAGCTAAGATGGTGAACAACAGCTCAACCTGGAGCTGGGCTGCTGTGAGTCACAGGTGATGGTGTAGGCTGCAGTGGGGCTGGTTGGCAGCGGGTGTGAGCTTTTGAGAGCCGCCGTGAGCGGCTGTCCAATCACCGGCGAGTGACTGCCTCACCCAGGAAGAGCGCAATGATAATACGAACATGGGCCAGTGAAGCGACGTCCTCCATAACTAGACTGAACAACAAAAGGACAGCAACTTGTCTGTTCCCCTTCCCTGATTCCCCAGCACTGGTCCCCGCCCCCAATTCCCCAATAAA